CCAGGATTTTCTCTTCTGTGTGTTTTCGTCCTGCTTCTTCACAGTCCATGATGCCAACTAAGGTTGCCAGTACAGTGAAACCAAACTGGTGGGACGGGAGCAAATTATTCTGGAGTTTTTCTATATCTTTGAGTTGTGCATCAAATCTGGGACAGATCACTTCACATTGTTTAACCTGTCTATGAGGTTCACAGCAGTTTTCCCAGCTCTGTGATCATCAGTGATTTTCAAATTTGCCAATGTAATCATGCTTCATCATCACAGTTAGAAACTGGAAGATGACTTTGGAGCATGGCCTAATAAGAACTTGGCGTTTGCCTCTCTTCTTAGTACTGTTAGTGCTCTGGAGCACATCTGCTGGGACATTCATGCACACCATTATGGGGCACGGAAAGATGGCAGAAAGAGCATTGCCTACCTTTCTTTTATGTGTGTCTTATTGATTTGTAAGAGTTCTTGGTCTGTCCTATTATAAATATTTATAATTTTTAAATCTAATTTTATGATTGTGAAATAGTTTTATTAGGGCATGATTTATAATAAAAGCCACCCATTTTAATTGTACCATTTAGGGACTTTGGGCAAATATATATAGTTGTGTAACTATAACAATCAAGATACAGGAAGAGATACAGAACATTTCCATCACTGAAAAAGTACCCTGATGCTCTTACAGCAAGTCCCCTTACTTCATCTCTTGTCCTAAGCAACCACTTGCCTTTTCCAGGATTTCATGTAAATGAAATGGTATACACTCTGTAGTCTTTTGTGCCTAAGTTCTGTCTCTTACCACAACGTTTTGGAGATTCAGCCATACTGTTGTGTGTAATATTGTTGTTACTTTTTAACGTTGAGTAGTATTCCATCGTATGGGTCCACCACAGTGTGTTCATCCATTCTTCATGACCTGTTGACTTTGTAAATGTGTCCTCTGCTTTTGATACTATATTACTTGTTGGTTTTGCCACTCATCTCTGCACAGGCCAGAACTGATCCACACGTTTTTTGGTTGGATAATCAACTGCTATGTGCAGACTATTGTGCTAGACATTTTGTGAGAAGTAATGACAGTAAAACATATTCCTTGCCTTCTGGAAAATTATGGTCTGGTTGGATAGGCAGTGCATAAGAGAGAGGTTGCTTTTGACTAGTGATGTAAGGGCAAGCTTTGAGTGGAGACTTTTGCTCACGTTTTGAAAGATCGGTTAGGTGGTGGAGGGTTGGAAAAGAAAAACTGATTGTATCGGTTTCAAATGATAAGCTCTGAAAGAGCAGGTTGGCTATACGGTATTTAGCATAACTGAGATAGTCAGCAGGCTCTACTGTAATGGTTGACCTCAACCAAAGGAATTTTGAGATCTGAAATTATTCCAATTAATTTGGTAAAATCTACTTACTGTGGAAAATTACAAGCAATGTGGAAGTGGAGAGAATAGAATAATGAACCTCCATGTATGCATCATGCAGCTTCAGTGGTGATCAGTTGTGGACCAGCCTACTTCACCAGCCCCCCCTGCATTCATTCCCACCCCACATTATTTTGGAGTGAATTCCAAGTGTCACATCATTTTGTATAATGTTTCTGTATGTGTCTCTAGATAAAGACTTAAAAAGAAACCATAGTCACAATACCATGATTACACCTAAACAAATGAACATTAATTCCTTAGTTGCATCAAATATCTAATGTTCATGTTTCTCCAGTTGTGCCATAAGTGTTTTTTTAGTGGTTAAAATCAGAATCCACATGAGGTTTTGCATTGCTGTTGGTTGAAATGCCTTCATTTTTTTTTAAATGTTTATTTATTTTGAGAGAGTGTGTGCGTGAGTGGGGGGAGGGACAGACAGGGGGAGAGAGAGAATCCCAAGCAGGCTCCATGCTGTCAACATAGATAGACCCTGACGCAAGGCCTGATCCCACAAACTGTGAGATCATGACCTGAGTGGAAATCAAGAGTCCGATGCTCAGCCTGAGCCACCAAGGTGCCCTGGTTGGAATGCCTTTTGAACTACAGTGTTCTCTGCCATCTCTTTTCCCTCATTAATTTATTTGTTGAAGAAATTGAGTTTTTCCTTTAGACTCTTCTGCTGAGTTTTGCTGATTGCATTCCTGTGGTGTCGATTTAATATGTTCCTTTGTCCCCCTGTATTTTCTATAAAGTTGTAATTAGATCTAGCGGCTTATTTATGTTTTTTTTATTTTATTTTATTTTTTTTGCAAGTATACTTCATAGATGATGATCTGTACTTTTCCCATAAGATACATAATGTCTGAGTGTCTTTCCTTTTGTGATATTGGTAGCCATTAATGATCATTGCATATATTTACTAGTTCATTATTAGGGTTGTAAAGTTGTGATATTCTCTTGAACCTTTATCAGTTGTCAGCTGGAACACCCCTAAAAGTAGGAACTTTTCCTCCTCAGCTGTTAAGTTATCCTTAGGGTACAATTCTTACTGGGGACACAGGATAGGAGTGAGAAGAGGAGATATAACTTCTAACTGGTTCTGTTAATGAGCAGAGAGAAGCATGTGGGCTGCATGCAAAAAGCTGAAATGGCTTTGGGCTGACTAGTGCACGGTGTGTGGAAAAAGCAGTAATTCTCCCTGTAGTGAGCTGTGCTTGGCTATTGGTCGGTGGCTGGGACTGGCCAAGGGAGCCCTTTGCCCGCAGCCATACCTGACCTTTGCTTTCAACTTGTGTTAGCTGAAGAAAACCATGGTGGATCCAGTGGCCTGTGAGCCTCTGTTTAGGGAACGGAGTTCTCACAGCCTTAATGCCAGCAACCAGGAGTAACACATTTATTTTTGCTTGAAATTAAACTTGGATTGTATTTCTTCCTCTTGTGTTAATATTCTTTTAACTTAATGTGAATCATTCCTCCCCTCAGGCTAACATAACCCATACAGCATTATAGGAAGGATTCCTATCGCTAGTAAATCAAGTGATTTTTTTTTACCCCCCAATCAAATATTTATTTTAAAAGCCGCTATTTACGTATAAATACCACATAGCAAGCATGGTGGCAGCTGTGTAAAGAAAGGGCTGCATGGCCTCTATAAAAGAAGGCTCCAAGATGATGACCAGAACCCAACCCCCCGGTCACAGTGTGGCTTCAGCTTCCTTAGGAGTTTGTCGTAGCCCTTTCTGTGGAAGTCAGTACATAAGGTCATCTCTGAGGCCTGGGCAACATAGAGGTAGTCAAGGACTTTTCTGTCCTGAGGTAGCTGTTCCTCTGTTTTTTCTCCACCACAAGGCATCTGTGTGTGTGTATTAGAATTTTTTTTGAGCACTTTTTTTTAATGTTTATTTGTTTTTGAGAGAGAGAGAGAGAGAGCATGTGTGTGCACATGCGTGGGGGATGGGCAGAGAGAGAGGGAGACAGAGGGTCCTAAGCAGGCTCTGCCCTGTCTGCAGAACCCATCATGGGGCTTGAACCCACGAACCGCAAGGTCATGACCTGAGCCAAAGTCGGACGCTTAACCAACCGAGCCATGCAGGTGCCCCTGAGCACTTTTGTATTTACAGAATAATTGAGCAGAAAGTACAGAATCCTCATCCTCCCACTCTCCCCTATTTCCATCCCATTTCTCCTATAATTACCATCTTGCGTGTTATGACTGATGAGCTGCATTATCAATGCAGTACAATTAAAGTCCATGGTTTTTACATTAGGATTCAGTCTTTGTTTTGTACGTTTTGTAGGTTTTGGCAAATGTATAATGACTTGTATGCATCATCATACCATCGTACAGGGTAGTTTCACTGTCTTAAAAATCTGTGCTTCATCCTCCCCTCTCTCCCTGAGTCCCGCAGTCACTGATCTTTTTACTGTCTTCATAATTCTACATTTTCCAGAATGTCATGTAGTTAGAATCATGTAGTATGTGTCTGGTTTCCATTCTATGAATTCAGGTTTCCTCCATATCTTCTCCTGGCTTGATAGCTCTTTTTTTACTTTTATTTATTTATTTTTTTATTGCTGAATAGTACTCCATTGTACGGATGTAATACAATTTATGTATCTAGTTACCTGTTGAAAGATAGCTTGGTTGTTCCAAGTTTTGGCAGTTATGAATAAAACATCTGTATGCAGGTTTTTGTGTTTACATAAGTTTTCAGCTCATTTGAGTAAATGCCAAGGAGGAAGATTGCTGGATCTTATGGTAAGAGTATGTTTAGTTTTTTAAGAAACTGCCAAACTGTCTTCTAAAGTGACTGTACTATTTTACATCCCCACCAGCAATGACTGAGTTTCTGCCATCCCACATATTTGCTAGCATTCGATGTTGTCAGTGTTCTGGGTTTTGGCTAGTCTGATACGTGTGTAATAGTGTCTCGTTTTAATTTGCAGTTCCCTAGTGACGTATGATGTCAAGTATCTTTTCATATGCTTATTTGCCTCTGTATATTCTTTGGTGAGGTGTTTGCTCGGGTCTTGTTTTTTTAAATTGGGTTATTTTCTTATTTTTGAGTTTTAAGAGTTCTTTGTGTATTTTGGGTACCAGGCCTTTATCAATATGTGTTTTGTAAAAATTTTCTCTCAATTTGTGGCTTGCCTTTTCATTCTCTTGACAGTGTCTTTTGCAAAGCAGAAGTTTTTACATTTAGTGAAATCCACCTTAGCAATACTTTCTTTCATGGATTGTGCTTTCAGTATTGTGTCTGAAAAGTCATTGCCAAACACAGGGTCACCTAGATTTTCTCTTAAGTTATGTCCTAGGAATTTTATAGTTTTGTGTTTTACATTTAAGTCTGTGATCCATTTTGAGTTCATTTTTTTTTTTCAATGTTTATTTATTTTTGGGACAGAGAGAGACAGAGCATGAACGGGGGAGGGGCAGAGAGAGAGGGAGACACAGAATCGGAAACAGGCTCCAGGCTCTGAGCCATCGGCCCAGAGCCTGACGCGGGGCTCGAACTCACGGACCGCAAGATCGTGACCTGGCCGAAGTCGGACGCTTAACCGACTGCGCCACCCAGGCGCCCCTTGAGTTCATTTTTATGAAAGGTGGAATATCAGTGTCTAGATTCATTTTTTTGCATGTGAATGTCCAGTTCTTCTGTCACCGTGCTAACAAGACCATCTTTTCTTGCTTTTATTGCCTTTGCTCCTTTGTCAAAGATCAGTAGACTATATTTTGTGTAGGTCTCATTCTGGGCTCTCTATTCTATTTATTTACTTATTTTGAGAGAGAAGAAGCACAAGCAGGGGAGGAATAGAGAGAGGGAGAGAGAGAGAGAATTCCAAGCAGCTCCACATTGTCAGCACAGAGCCCAGTGTGGGGCTTGAACTCGCAAACCATGAGATATAACCTGAGCTGAAATCAAGAGTCAGACGCTTAATTGACTGAGCCACCCAGGCACTCCTGGGCTCTCTATTCTGTTCTATGATCTATTTGTCTTCTTAGCCATACTGTCTTGATTACTTTGTTTTGTTTGATTAGTTTTATACTAAGTCTTGGAAGTCAGGTAGTGACAGCCCTCCAACTTTGTTCTTCCGTGTTGTATTGGTTATTCTGGATCTTTTCCCTTTCCATATAAATTTTAGGATCGGTTTATTGATAACACACAAAATAATCTTGCTGGAATTTTTATTGGGATTTCCTTGAATCTGTAGATACATTTGGGAAGAAATGACAGTGACATCTTGATTCCTATCCATGTACCTGGAATTGTCTTCCATTTCTTTAGATCTTCTTTGATTTTTTTAGAGTTTTGTGGTTTCCTTCATAGAGATCTTACACGTATGTTCTTAGATTTATACCTAAGTATTTCTGCTTTTTTTCGGATGCTAATGTAAATGGTATTGCATTTTAAATTTCAAATTCCAGTTGTTTATTGTTGGTATAGAACAAAAAATAATTGAGTTTTATTAACCTTGTATCCTGAAACCTTAATGGTTTATTAATTCCAGGAATTTTTTTGTTGTTTCTTTGGGATTTTCTACATATCATCATGTCATCAGCAAACAAAGGAAGTTTTATTTTTTTCCTTCCCAATCTGTACACTTCTCTTTTCTTGTATTGTTGCATCTGTTAAGACTTCCAATATGATGTTGAATGAAAGTGGTGAGAATGAGGGGCACCTGGATGGCTCAGTCGGTTTAAGTGTCTAACTTCGGCTCAGGTCATGAACTTGTGGTTCATGAGTTTGAGCCCCACATTGGGCTCTCTGTTGACAGCTCAGAGCCTAGACCCTGCTTGGGATTCTGTGTCTTCCTCTCTCTCTGTTCCTCCCCTGCTTGCTTGCTCTCTTTCTCTCTCAAAAATAAAGATTAAAAAAAGTTTTTTTAAAAAAGTGGTGAGAGCAGACATCTTGCCTTGTTTCTAATCTTAGCAGGAAAGCATCTAATTTCTCATCATTAAGTATGATATCAGCGGTAGGATTTTTGTATATGTTCTTTGTCCAGTTGAGCAACTTCCCCTCTGTTTTCAGTTTGTTGAGAATTTTGATTCGGTGTTGGATTTTTTCAAATGCTTTTTCTGTATCTATTGATAGGATTGTGGGATTTTTTTTTATTCTTTAGTCTATTGATGTATGGATGGATTACATAAATTTATTTTTGAATCTTGAACCAGTCTTGCATACCTGAAATAAATCCTATTTGGTCATGGTATATAATTTTTTTTTTTTTTTGTACATTGTTTGATTTAGTCCACCAGTATTTTGTCCAGGATTTTTACATTTGTGTTAATGAGAGCTATTGGTCTGTAGTTTTTCTTTCTTCTAATGTGTTTGTCTGGTTTGGGGATTAGGGTAATACTTGCCTCATAGAATGAATTAGACAGTATTTTCTCTCTTGTTTTCTGGAAGAGATTGTAGAGACTTGAGATAATTTCTTCCTTAAAGCTTTGGGAGATTTCACCAGTGAACCCATCTGTTTCCAGTTTTAAAAGGTTATTAGTTATTGATTCAGTTTCCTTACTAGATATAGGCCTATTCAGATTGTTCTTTTCACCTTGTGTAAATTCTGATAGATTGTCTCTTTCAAGGAATTGGTCTGTTTCATCTAGATTATCTAATTTGTGGGCATAGAGTTGTTCATAATAATCCTTTATTATTCTCTTAATGTCCTTGGGCTTAGTAGTAATGACCGTTCTTTCATTTCTGATAATAGTAATTTGTGTCTTCTCTTTTTTCTCAATTAACCTGGCTAGAGATTTATCAGTATTATTGGTCTTTTCAAAGAATTACCTTTTGGCTTCCTTGATTTTTCTCTATTGATCTTATTTTTATTGATTTCTGCTCCAGCTTTATTTATTTGCTTGCTCTTACTTTGAATTTAATTTGCTCATATTTTTCTAGTTGCATAAGGTAGAAACTTAGATTCTTAGATTTTTAGATCTGTCATCTTTTCTAATATTTGCATTCAGTGCTATAAATTTTCTCTAACTCCTGCTT